TAAACGGCACCTTGTTTTAGAGCGGGAAAACAAGAGGGGGAAAGTTCTCCCCCTCTCTGCGCAGCGCCTCCTGCCGCTTCGCTGAAGGGGTGCTGGGCAGAGAGGGGGAGAATTTTTTTTTCCTCGTTCTCCCCCCTCTAAAACAAAGTGCGTCCTATTGTCCGGTGCGTCCTATGGTGCGAAAAATACGGTACTTCTGCCTTCAGAGAGGACTCTTTTTTCTGCTGGTTGTGAAATAAAGGTTAATGCTCTCTTCCAGATAATATCAGCTGGGGAAGTCTGTCCTATTTACTCAAGAATTTGGTGCTTCAAAATTTGAAAAACACTAAACTGGCAATAGTCCCATTGCATACTTGTTTACTTATTATTTTTATTTATAGACGTATTCATTTACTGCTAAATCACAAAACATGTCAAAACAGTTTACAACATTAAAAAGATTAAAATCATAAAAATTAAAAGCAATTAAAAAGCAAAAGTTTAAAGCAAGCATTAATAAACCATTGTGGCATATGTATTCTGAATTGCCTATGCAGGCCTAGTAGAATAAAATGTTTTTCGGCATGCATTTAAAAATTGGGACAAAAGGAACTCACTGAATCTCTATTGGCAGAGTACCAATTCGGGGAATGATTAACGATGCTCCTACCGATGATTCCAGTAATCAAGCTGGAATATAGGCAATTGTGGAGGTACCCTCGACCTAAGTTGTTTAGGGCTTTGTAAATTTATGCAAGGAACTTGCCTCAGAAGTAGATGAGCAGCCAGTGTAGCTGCTTTAACAAAAGTGCCACGTGTCCTTGGCTAGAAGCTCCCATCAGCAGTCTGCATCAGCTGGAGCTTCCGAACTAAACTCAAGGGCAGCCCCACATAGAGCACATTGCAGTAATCCAGCCTCGAGATGACCAATGATTGGACTGCAGTGGTCGGGCCAAACCCTGTCCAGAAATGGCTGTAGTCCTCTAACCGCTATTATACAGTAAAAAGGAGCACATAGGCAGAAGATAACAAATTTACAACTAGAATTGGACACTTACTTTGTTGTATTGGTGATTCCTTTTTTATCCTCTTCCTTTCTCTATCTCTTTTTTTTTAAGATGATATAGCTGACTCCAGATTTTTGTTTTCCCAGCAGGAATAGAGTAACAGCACTGTAATGCAATCCTGCCCGCCCTTCCCCCATTGGTATGGGTTAGAATGACCATTATTATTGGCAGGGGAACAATTGCCATTTGCATTAGAACATATATCATGTGTCCCTGCAATTTGAAGTGAAAGGGCCTTGTTGGTGGTGCCTCCCTCGCTATGAAACACTCTTTGTAAAGAAACTCACCCAACACCCCTATTATCCATTAAGGCCAGACTAAGACATTTTAAAGGATGCGGGTGGGGCTGTGGTCTAAACCACAGAGCCTAGGGCTTGCCTATCAGAAGGTCAGCGGTTCGAATCTCCTGTGACGGGGTGAGCTCCCGTTGCTCAGTCCCTGCTCCTGCCAACCTAGCAGTTTGAAAGCACGTCAAGTGCAAGTAGATAAATAGGTACCCCTCCGGCAGGAAGGTAAACGGTGTTTCCATGCGCTGGTTTGCCAGAAGCGGCTTAGTCATGCTGGCCACATGACCCGGAAGCTATCTGCGGACAAACACCGGCTCTCTTGGCCAGTAAAGCAAGATGAGCGCCGCAACCCCAGAGTCATCCGTGACTGGATTTAACAGTCAGGGGTCCCTTTATCTTTTTAAGACATTTTATTCTCCCAGACTGCTTAAGTTCTTGCTATTTTAGTCCCTGTGGTATGGATGGTGGTTTCATATCCCATGTTGCTGGCTCTTTTTAGCACCTGGGACCTGCATTGTATTTTATTGTTTTGCACTTTTTGTACTGGAATTTTTACAGTGGATAAGATTTTTAAGATTTATCGTGGGGCTTCAGTGTGATGTTTTTAATTGGTTTTATACAATGTCCGTATAGTTAAAGCTATGTTTTTCCCAGTAGTGATGTATGGAAGTGAGAACTGGACCATAAAGAAGGCTGATCACTGAAGAATTGATGCTTTTCAATTATGGTGCTGGATGAGACACTTGAGAGTCCCATGGACTGCAAGAAGATCAAACCTATCCATTCTGAAGGAAATCAGCCCTGAGTGCTCACTGGAAGGACAGATGCTGAAGCTGAGGCTCCAATACTTTGGCCTTCTCATGAGAAGAAAAGATTCTCTGGAAAAGACCCTGATGCTGGGAAAGATTGAGGGCACAAGGAGAAGGGGACGACAGAGGACGAGATGGTTGCACAGTGTTCTCAAAGCTACAATCATGTTTGACCAAACTGCGGGAGGAAGTAGAAGACAGGAGTGCCTGGCTTCTCTGGTCCATGGGGTCACGAAGCATCGGACACGATTAAACCACTAAACAACAACAACGCCAGAGAACTCGCTTTATGAGATGTCTAACAATAAATAAATATTCTGAAACAGAACAATATTTCTTCTGAATTAAAATTAGATCAGCTGTTTATAGCGTAATCATATCAATTTACTAAATTGTAGGAAGGTATAATAATGATAAATAATAATAAAGCAGGACGAAATCAGAATATAATTGTTATCAATGATACTATTTCTTAAAGAAAGTAAGAAAATATATAGAGTAAAATACAACTATTTCACATCAAAAACATGAGAGAAAAATCAGGAATTAAATTGATTTCAATGAAAACAAAAATTTACACAGGAGGAATTAAAAGGATTTTCATCACTAATGCACCAGGCACAATTAACATGAACAACTAAAATGGCTAAAACCTGCAATCAGGAAGCTTTCAATTAAAGGTACAAAAGCCCTGAAAAGATTCAATAGCACTACTTTGCCTTTATACACTGGACAGGCTGCATGTGTAGGGGTGCCAAACTGGGTCTTTGACCCGGGTCAAATAAAGCTTAGTTTCACCCTTGGGGCAGAGTATATTTTCGACATCCATGCACACCTTTTGCACTAAAAATTGGATCCTCATTCCCTGCTGCGTATGGGATGAGGACAGACCCTTGTTTTAATTCCTATCATCACCTACAGCTTCACTGAGGATACCGTATATTGCAGCTGCTAGCTTCCTTTTCTGGCAATTTCTTTTAATTGTTTCTTGATAAGCAGATATCCAGAACTTAAAGCTTTCCCCATCGCTGCATCTCTATTCCAGCAAAAGCCGCTTTCTGAGTTTCTATTTGCCGTTCAGAAGCGTTACCAGAAAAAGGAGTTGGAAACCATATATAGTCCAAATAAAGCCAGTTGTGCTAAAGTGTCGTTGAAATCAATGGGCTTAATTTAGTTGTAATTGACTGTGCAATCCAATACATATATTCCAAATACCGGTAGTAAGCCCTGTTAAACTCTGGGGTTTATTTCCAGGTTCAGTGTGTATTATCCTGTAGAATTAGAGCCTGATCCTATGCGTAGTAGGGCTCTAAATCTACTGACGCCACTGGAATTAGATGCATTTAAAGGACTGGGAGGTTACTTGCTCTGATGACTGAAATGAAACTTGATACATACAACAAAACCAATTTGGATTGAAGCAGTAATTTGAGACTTAAGTGTGTGGGACCATTTTAAAACAGTATTTTAGCAATGTTTTTTTCCTTGCTCTCTACTAACGGAATGCTTTACTTCCTGGCATCAATTTCATTCCCGATATTGGCACATGTAAATATCTGAATAAAATCTCACTTCTTCACTTCATCTTCCTCTCAACTGACATTAATCTATTAAGGGTCTCCAACCACTCCCTTGCCCTCCTGTAGCTCTTCTTACTTTGTGTTTTGTCTCAAGTTCCCCCCCCGCCCCAATTTTTTGTTTCACACTTTTAGTATTTATTTTTACTTTATAAGTAGGCCAGAAATTGCCTATATAGCTACATGATATTTAACATTACATATATAGATTTTAATCTAGATTATCAGGGCCTATTTTTTCCTATCCCACCACCTTTGTTCGTTTATACACGCCACCGTCTCTCAAGACAGGCAGATGCCAGCACCGACTCTTTTATAGAATTGATCTAGAAATTGGTGCCTGAGTTTGGAGTTTTATTTTCCTCTTCCCTCCTTGGCCCTTTCCCCTTGTGTGCTGTATCTTTAATTCATTTATAGGTATGCCTGCAAGGAGTGTCTTATTTTGATTTCATGTAAGGCGCACCGGGAGCCTTTTTTGGCTGAAGAGCAGGGTACAAATCCGCTGGATAAATAAATAGCAATAAAGGACTGACACTTGCTATCACTGCAGTTATGCACTATGCATGTGTAGATACCACACACACACACATATATATCCCTGTGATCCTCAGAAGAAGGGTGGAATAGAAATACATATAAAATTGGATTTTGTTTTTATTATGTATTTGGATCTTGTGATTTTATGTGGTAACCACCCATATAAATAACCGGGTTGTTTTTATTATGTATTTTGATATTGTCATTTTATGTGGTAACCGCCCATATAAATAATTGGGCTTTTTTCATTATGTATTTTATTACGTGTTTTTTCATCTTGACATTCTTATGTGGTAACCGCCCCGAGACCTGTGGCGCGTACAGGGCGGTATACAAATGTGGCGGGCAAAACACCCCCAAAAACGTAAAATATCCCCTCACGGAAACGGTGCGCGACGAGATGTCACGCCATACCTCTGGCTGCGTCCCCCCCGCCCCCGGTACCTCATTCCCTCACAGCTTCCCCTCCACGACTCCATCCCCTCCTTATCCTCCCCTCACGTAGGTAAGTCGGGGGAGGTTGTTCGCGCCTTGCCAACCTCCTCACAAAATGGCGGCGCCGGGCTACCGGCTACTCCCTTTCCCTTCCCGCCAAAACGCACGCACGTACCCTCACTCCCTCCCCCCCCCCCGCTTACACCCTCCCCGCGTAGAGCGAGCGAGCGAAGCGCCGCTTTATTGTCGTCCTCCCCCGCCCTCGAGCCCGTTCGGGCGCCAGGCGCGCGTGGGCGGGCCCCAGTCGGCGTCTGGGCGTGGCCGGCGCGTGCAGAAGAAGAAGAGGAGGGGGAGGGGGACTAAATAAATAAATAGAGAGGGAGGGGGAGGAGGAGGAGAGCGGGGCGCGCGGCGACGGGTAAAGCAGCGGCCTGTTTCTGCCTGTGCGCGCGCGCGCCCGCGTCCTCCTCCTCGCTCTCTCTCTCTCGCTCCCCTTCCTCAGGGAAGGCTCCTTTCTTCTCTCCCTCGCCCCCTCAGGTGCAGGTTGCAACCGTCCCTCTGCCCCCAAGGCCGCTCCACCACCACCACCACCCGGCCCCATTGAGGAGCAAGCCCCGCACCCACCACCTCAGGAGGGAGACCCGCTCCCCTCTGCAAAGTAGGGGGCTCCTCGCCCCACTTTAGGTCCCTCTCGCCACACCAGGTCACCATTTGTGTCAGGAGCGACAAAGAGAGCTTTTCCATCTGTGGTAAGGGGCTCTCCCTCCTCACCTCAACGAAGGAGGACGTGTGCAAATGCGCCCCCCCCAACCCCCCCATTCGCGCCCCGTGGCAGTTGCTCCCCTGTGGGGACAAGCGAGGCCCACCGTTCTCTGGAAAGCGGGGTGGGGTCGGTTGCAAATACTTATATGGGGGTCGCTGCAGCCCTCCCGTTTTGTTAGGGGGAAGGGGGCTCCCCACCCCACTTTTAACTGCTCAGAACTGGGGGGCCAGCCACTTCTAGGGCTTCCTGGGAAAGTTTCCCGTTGCTGTGTTTCTGCCCCCCATGTAGAGAAGAATATGGAGCCCTGGCACCGTTGGGAAAGAATCTTAATTCGGATCCTGCCCCTTCGCCAGGGTTAAAAATACATAACAGCATTTCAAGTGCTGCAGCAGGTTTTTAGGGTTTTCTCTGCACCTGTTTTTTTTAATGAAGGCTCAGGGTGGGATGGAGAGGTTAAGGCTGCAATAGCCCCATTTACTACCCCGGGGTTAGTTAAGGCCCATTCGATTCAACAGGGCTTGCTTTGGAGTAGTCGTGCAAAGGATTGCACTCTTAGGAAAGGAAGCCCTGTGTTACGTTTCATTGCTTTTCAGTAGAATTTTGTGATAGGAGAGAAAAGCAGTGAAATGCAAGAGAACAGCTAGAAACCATGGCTGTCAACCGGTGGAAAGGTTTCAGTTAAGGTGCCACTTAAGCAATCTAGTAAATAAGTTTGCCTATGCTAAAACTTAAACATAGGTTCCCACTTTATATATTGAAGGAAGTGCAAAATAATTTATAGTTCAAGAAAAGCTGCTATGGGGGGGGGGGGAGTAATCCATTTGTAATATTTTCATCCTATGCCATTACTTAGTTAAAAATTAGCTTTCCTGGGTTTCTTTCGTTCTCAAAGGAAACCCAAACATAAAAATCCTGCAAAACTTCTAAAAGATGCTGAAGCTTTGGATTTTTTTGAGGGGAGCACTTCATAATCATGCAACAGCTAAAAAGAGAAGTAAATTTATTTGGTGTTTGCTCTTGGTACATGAATGGGATAAGGAATCCCGACCCGCTTAAGTGTAGCTAGGAAATAAATAATATTTTTATCAGTAACCATGCCTTATCATTTGAAAGCATGACCTAAAAATATCTGCATGATAAAATTCTGATGTTCATATTTGTTTGTAAAGTTTTTATTCCCCACTGCTATGAGCAGGCTTTAAATTTTTTTCCTTATTTTTATCCTGTGAAATTAAGATATCTCCCTAACACCTTTTTGCTTTTATAAGCCTGCTCTACAAGCATCAGTGGTTTGTGTACCTTGGTCCTTTGCTCTGGAATGTTGAGTGCTGTGATATGGATAGGTTGTAAGTGGCATTATGTTTATAGTGCCTGGATACAGAGCATTATATATTCATAAAATTCCATTTAATAATATGCCCACAACCAGCAAAGAATATTTCCTTTTTCTCTCTCCATCCCAAATTAAGAGATGGTGTGCCCCTCAGTATTACAGCAACAAGTATTTCCTCCCAACGTGCAGTTAAAAATTGTGTACCCTTGTCTGTTAGATCCAGTGGGAAGAATTTAAATATATTTGTATACGCACCCTGTCTTACGAAGAGAGGTTGAGTTGATTCTGTTGATGGCAAGGAGGAGCCTTAAATACGCAATGTCATTCTTCTTAATGGATATGAATTTAAACTATTCTCTACTTATTCTATCCTTAGAGCACATCTTTCCAAGCGTTTTCCCAAAATCTGCTATGGCCTAATAATACTGGACTTGTAGGATTTTGAGTGGCAGCTGCTAATATCCAGTTATAATTGTGAAGACAGAAAGAAGTGCTGATGAACTTTGCTTAATCCTTGGTGAATAATACCTGTAAGCTATTTTTAAAGAGAATCATTTGCAAAATAGGAGTCTCCATGCATAATTTTGTATATGTAAACTCTTGCCCCTTTTTGCAAAATTTATCATGTTTACATTTCTGTTATGCCCGGAGATAGTAGTCCTATATTGTAGTGTTCTAAACATGTATGTACATTTTTAAAAAAGAATTTGCCACTTTTTATTTATATATGGGGATGTTTATGGCCCACCTTTCAAGGCCTAGGCTTGCAATGCAGCAAGACAACACAACACATTAAAAAGAATGAAAATCCTGTAGAAACCTAGAATAATAAACAGTTGTATATTCAAACAGCAAAACTGCAAAAAGAATCCAGAGAGCCACGTAAAATAACAACCTTTTTTCTGGGTAGTGGTGGTAAGTTTTTAGCCATTGGTGGAACATAAATAATGAGGTTCACAATTTAATCTCTTGGGGCAGTAAGTTATTATGGACAGCTTCACATGTAACACTAAGCCAAAATAATACATTAATCTTTTGAAAATGCTCATGGGGAATCTGCAGACCTACCTATATTGCAGTACATCTATTATTTGTGGCAGTACATTCATCGTATATGTGAACCTCATCCCAAGCACTAAATTTCAGTAGAGATTTTTGTTATTAAGCTATTTAAATTAAATTTGATCATTTGAGAAATAACCGTAGGAATCAAAATCCCTAGCTATGTTATTTATTTCACAAAATTTGTATACCACTTGATTGTAATAAGACCTCAAACGTCAGTTTGATCTATATGATCATGCTTAATTTAATCATGGGGTAACCCTCATTTGAAGATATGGAGGCAACCCTTTTTTGGGGGTGGGTAGAGTGTGGGATTAATACAATAGATGAGCTGATAAGAATAGATGGAGAATTTTTACAATGATTCTTCATTGAGGGTTAGATACTATTTACCAATGAGGATTAAATGCTAATTTTAATCTGTTTCAGTATTTTAACTTTTGTATGTTTTAAAATAGGGTTGTAAATTTTTCTTGATATTATTGTCTTAGCTTTTTGTAAACCACTTCTGAGTTTTTTCACAGTCAAGTGATGTATACTTTTTAGGAAATACCGTAAATTTATAACATTAAATAATATTTTCAGTAACAGCACACTTCAGTGTCTATTTATGATCCATCAACTTGGAGTGCTTTATCATCACCTAAACTGCTGGATGGAATAATTGGTTGGTTGCAAAATATAAAACCAGTTACTAGTTTTTATAAATGCATATATGGAAGTTTTTAATGCTTGATGTTTTACTATGGTTTTATCATTTGTTTGAGCTCCAGTGTGGCTAGAACAACCCAGTCAGATGGGCAACATAGAAATAATAATTTATTATTATTATTATTATTATTATTATTATTATTATTATTGGAAACTCATAAGAAGATGATCAGCAGGTTAGAGAAGAATGGAGCAGGGAATTAAGAGTGTACTATGGAACCTAAACAATGACAAATTGCATTAGAATCTATACAGAATATTTCTTTAGATGTAAAATTGGCCTGAGTCCTGGTATTGCTCTGACTTGTGCATGCCTATGATTCTTCAAAACTGTTCAACACTTGTGACTCTGACTCAAAGCCCCTTTGCTCTTTCCCATTTCCATTTCAATCTTTTGTTTAGGAACCTTGACCCAAATTACAAACATGAATATGGACCAGTACCACCTCAGTGATGAAAGTTCACTCCACTCTGAGATGCAGCTTCATGAGTTTTCAGGGAATCAGGCTTTGGACTGCAGTGATAATTTCGGCCACGACCTGTGTCCAGATATGAGAGACATGATTTATTCAGGATTGAGCAACTTGGATGTGGACCCCAGTCTTTCAGCCACAAATATGAATAATGACTCCTTGGAGGACAATCTTGACACCTTATCTTTGTACTCTGTGAAGGACTGTGATTCTACTAAACTCCTTGAGGATTGTGACCCAGACTCACGGCCACTCTTGCACGGTGAGTAACCCTGGTTACAGTGGTAAATAACCAACATGGCAAAATGTGTAAGGCAGGAATGCGAAAACTGGCTTTCCAGATGTTGTTGGACTACAACTCCTATCAGACTCAGCCAGGATGGCCAGTGGGCGGAGGTTATGAGAACAGTTATCCAACCACATTGAGAGTCCCAGGTTCCCCATCTTTGCCTAAATACAGGCTTCCTCAAGATCTGCCCTCCAGATATTTTGAGACTACAATTCCCACCATCCCATTGGTCCTGCTAGCTAGGGATCATGGGAGTTGTAGGCCAAAAACATCTGGAGGGCCGAGTCTGAGGAAGCCTGCCTAAATAGAACCTGGAAAGCTTTCTTTTTTCCATTCAGCTATGGGTTTCTTTTCTAGTCAAGGCACTCCTCTCCGAAATAGGAATACGTAGTAATTGTTCCATTTCACACTTCAGTGCCATGTGTACACTGGTGTTTCTGCACAACAAGGATTATGAAGTATCAATGGGAGATGCATGTCTTTAGATGTACCATGGGCATGTGCTAGAGACCTGCAGACCATGGCTTGTTTTGTGGAAGTTACGGATCCCAAAGCATTTTGCAAGCAGAAATAATTAAGTTCTACAAGATTTTGTAAAGATCATAGATGTGCAGGTTTGTAAGGAGAAATTTGCATTTATTGTCCCCTTTTTCTGGGGAGGGGAATCTTACTCATCCTCACGTGACTGTTCAGGCATCTCTTGACTTTTTAATGCCAACAGGTCCACGCGGTTGTTTAAAGTTTTGTTGAATAGCCTGTCATTTTAATTACTATTCTGTATTGCTTTTAATATTTTTTAATCATTTTATATTGTTTTACACTGCCCTGATGCTTTATGATGTGGATGTATTTAATAAATGAATATATTAATATATTAATTTGCACTGGAAAATCACATATGCTGTATTAGCCATTCAGATTTGATACAACGCAATGTTATCTTCGTGAGTATTGCCTGTTTCTTTCAGTATGGCGATGTGGCGTCATTGCATAATCACAGTGTGTGTAGACTTTGACATTTTGAAATGAGGGTATTTTTCTTAAGGGTAGGGGAAAATAGCATTTTTGGCAAGGTAAAAATGTACAAAATTGCCAAAAGCAAATACAAATACCAGCCTAATTTTTCAGCGGAGCAACTGAGAAACAAAACTCATCTCTTGGAACACTTTCTTGGGATAATGTCATCGACTTAATTTTTCTGTAATGTGCCATGAGACATTTATTGCTCCTTGGAAAAAATAATAGATAAAGATGACTACACTACAATATGATAAGAATATGTTCCCCTTCTGTCTAGTTTCTTTTCAATTGCATCCAGGATAAAGGAAATGCTCTCTGTGGAGTCTTTTCAGCGCACGCTCCAGCTGCAGCTGGGATAAAAGCTACACTGAAGAAACATGGCAAATCTAACTGTTAGGACCGAACATCTTAGCTTCCTTTTAAATCAAATAATTAATTTCATGTTGAACCTTTGTAGCTCTTGATGTTTTCTCCACATTCAGTTTTCAGTTGAATTGGTTGACTCTAAAACCTGCAGTGAAAAGTTAAGACATAAAATTTTCAGGTCTTAAGTTTGCTGGGCAAAACAACAGTCCACTGTGATCATTGTTGAGATTAGGTGCTTCCATCATTTGAAGCATTTAGTTGACAGCACAGCACTTCAGAAGATTATTTCTCCTTGGAATTATACCTGCATTAGATGAAGTTGGCTGAACGTTACATGCTGCCAGGCTTGGGTTGAAATGCTTTTATTTAAGCTCCATCTTATATGCAATTAAATATGCACATACCATACCATAGCTGTGTTGGTTTTTGGTTGTTTTGGGTAATATATGAAGTGGAAATCAGTTCTTAAAAGAGATCGGCAGTAATGGGGACATGTGAATGGAGAGTAGCTTAGATAAATTTAAAATGGAACAAAATTGACAGTGCAGTAGTGCTCTAGTAAGAACAATGAAATAATTTTGGTCGTCAGGAATGAGCTTTGTTGATCAGGTGCAGTAATGCTGAACAAATGCAAGGCCTCCGTTTTAGAGGAAGGGAATGCTACGCTACCTTCATAATTTTAACTTAATTACCTGAATGGATTTTTTAACTGGGCACTCAATTTAGTGCCAAAATCCTAAAAGCAGATAAAATAGAACCTCAAAACTTGTTAACTGTGAAATCAGTGAGTCTGCTTCATGAGCAAGCAGTTTGGCAATAAGAGGTTAACTCTATTAAAAAGTTCATTACTGGTATAAATAGTTACTAGAGAGGAGGAGGGTGCATGTTTCTAGAAGGCCAGAAGTTCCCACACCTGTTTGTTTGTGATATGACCACTTTAGCAGTGCAGAAAGGGTGCTTGTATAAGAGGCAAAAGAATACTTTAAAATTCAGCAGGGTCTACCCATGCTCTCTTGAGTTGTATATGTACTTCATTTATGTGCAGTTTTTGTTCTTCATTCCACCCTGCAGCAAAAATGTAAATCCTGTGTGTTTATACTAGAGATCTGGGTATTCTTGGTAATTTTCCAACGCTCTGAATGCATTGGAGTGTTTAGGATATTTGACATACACTCATGCGCACACATATAGAATTAAGTGTTTGTGTGATGTGCTCTAAGATGTTTGCTGCTGGTAGTACAGTTACTGTTAAAAATGGTATGGGATGGAATCATGTAACCTGGGCTTGCTTTAAGCCTGTTTTTATATTTGCTTTGCTATGCACTTTTAACATGCCCTGAGACTGCTGGGTGGATCAGGATACAAAGCTTCATAAAATATTGTGGGATAACCAGTATGCTTAGGTATAATTAAACTTTGGAAGGAACTTAGAAGGGAATATATTAAAGGTCCAACAGCCTGTAATTCCATGCTCTACTTTGCTTCATATTTTTTGGTTTTAAATCTCTACTGTGGTTCCTCTCACCAAAGAGGACTTGCCCCAAACCTGGATCTTGGCATCCAGGGAATTCTCCTTTTATACCTCTGCCCCCCCCCTTGCATTATGTTCATTTAACAAACATAATGCAATTTGACATTATGTTCATTTTATGAAATTTCCATACCAGTTGATTATAGTAAAACCTCTAAGCAGTTCAATATTGCTAAATCATCACTGGAAGAAAATAATTGCATTGGGGAAAGAAATTTAAACAGTTTATTGCCATCACCATCATTATAAACATTATTGACATTTTTTAACAAGAACAGTTGTTGTTGGTTTTAACAAGCTTTAGCATCTTGTGTAGTTGATTTAATAACAGGGGTAACGGGTGTTCCCTTCTGAAAGTATTTAGAATTGAGGAAGAAATGGAACTGTCAGGGCTTCAGTCATCCTTGGAGCAGCCTGCTCCTGTCCTGTTGTGTTGAATGGGCTCATCACTATTGCTTTTAAAAGGATCCTTTTTATGAAGAACCAGCACGCAGGAGAATCCATAGTTAATGCACCTGTGGTTTTTTGTGCTGACTGAGAAGAGAACGGGATTTGTTTACTGTGTCTGCTTCCACAGCGAATACCAGTTCCAAAGTTAGTATGTGCACCCTATTTTCTGCTGCCAGGAACATTCACCAGTAACTGAGGGAGCTACATGTTTGAAGCCCCCCAGAAATAATTTGGGGAGGGGAGATTCTTCAGAACCTGTCAAAATATGTAAATATATATAAAAATCATCCAGTAGCACCTTAGAGACCAACTAAGTTCTTGGTATAAGCTTATACCAAGAACAAACTTAGTTGGTCTCTAAGGTGCTACTGGACAATTTTTAAAATATATATATATTTCGACTGCGTCAGACCAACACGGCTACCTACCTGAATTCTGAACCTCTGTTATTTAAGCCCCTCAATGTCCCATTGATGTTGTTCTCACCTTGAAAATGCAAGGAGTCATACTTGGCATTTATATGGCATTTTTCGTGAGTGTCATGTTCATTATATCACTATTTTTTAAAAGGCAACCTTACAAGGTAGGTCAATTTTATTATCCCATAGTGCAGATGGGATAAGATGTGGGGATGGAGAGGTAAGTGGCTTGCCAAATGCTGCCTAGTGGGTTTGTGACATTGAGATTTGAACCAGATACTTAATTGCTCACACTGTCATTGACTGTACAAAGCCAGATGCTATGAACTAAAAGTTGTCTTTACTTACATAGAATTGGGACTTCCTGCCCCTTCAGTACCGAAAGAAGTGGAGCAAGGAGGCAGATCCAGTTCTGGCAGTGGAAGGAGAGGAAAGCACCAGCAAAACTCCCCTCAAGCCCCTTTCCTGGATTGCAGCCTCTGTGGAAAGGTTTTCAGTAGCACCAGCTCTCTCAGCAAACACTACGTGACTCACAGCCAGGAACGGAAGCATGTCTGTAAGATCTGCAGCAAAGCATTTAAGCGCCAGGACCACCTGTATGTATCTGTTTGCCAGTAAAACTGATTTAAATGTATAGACAGTTTCTGCTACTGTAGAAATTTGGCTTGATCTAGTTTGGCTAGGGCCTGGTGTACAAATGTGCATAGACCTAGTATTCCTTAGTAATGCAAGACATAATCTGCCTTCACTTAAGAAAAGGGTGAAACTACCCAGGGAGTTGCTTTGGATCTACTGTGACAGCAGACAGCACTGTAATACAGTGAAGTTTTCAAGTTCCATCATTCAGGCAGGATTCCAGTGATGGAAGAGGCTCCTAGTATTGAGGAGAGAAAATCTTTCTAATTTACTCTGTGATGCATGAAATAATTTGGCCTTCTGAAAATCAGAGCAGTTGGGTGTGAGCACTTGGTGGGATGTGGTTGCAGCGATACCACAGGAAAAGTATCTTAAGCAAAAAGAAGTGGAATTCTGAGAGATATTTGAGCCCCCTTTCCCCCTGAGCACAGGACAAAAGCATGCCTCCCTTTACATTAACCACAGTCCTATGCTCCGGAGCAGAGAAATTGTAATAGAAATTTGTGTGAAAACTAGAGACCTGTAGCCAGAGATCTGTGGCTAGTTCTCACTGCTATGGTAAATGTGCACCTGGACTCTTAGCATTTCAGACTGGACATGGAAGCTTTTATGATGGAATATTTCTCAGTACAGCACCAGAAAATGGCAGTTAGAAATATAGAATATCAAGGGGAAGGCTAGGTTAGAATCCTTTGACATCTAGTTTTATATATGCAAGGGTGTGTGTGTGTGTGTGTGTGTGTGTGTGAACACTCTGTCATGTGAGCCCCCATCTGCAGTCTGAAGTGATAGTGTTGGGAGTTCAGCTGATGGAATCAAAAAAAGATTATTACTTTCGGGCAAAGTTCTAGTGTGACTCGGACGTCCTTACAGCCTTTCCTAGTAAAGACAGCCAAATGGACCACCTGGGTGGGTGGAGTCCCTGTAGTACATAGGAGCCTTTACTGCTTAGGGAAATGCTATAACTTACAGCTCTGGTGACACCATCCAGGGTAACTGTGTACAGCAGGCATAGGCAAACCAGGCCCTCCAGTTATTTTGGGACTACAAGTCCCATCACCCCTGACCACTGGTCCTGTTAGCTAGGGATGATGGGAGTTGTAGTCCGAAAACATCTGGAGGGCTGAGTTTGCCTATGCCTGGTATACAGAGTCATGGGTAGCCATGGCAGCTCCTGATGCACAGCCCAAATAAAGGTTTATCCCCTCTTTAACTATTCTAGGTTTCCAATCCGTATGTGAGGTTCAGACTCCCTTGCTTCTGCAGCTCTTGGTCATATACACCTCTGTTCGCTCACTCTCTTCCTCTCACCTGCTTTCTTTTGTACCCCTCTCTTTCCTAACTGTATCTTCAAACACTTGTTTCCTTGATAATGCTGCCTGCTCTGCCCTTCTCAAGGAGCAGAGCAGCTCAGCTAGTGGTGGCCAGAGAGGTACTCCTAACTGCCCAGTCCATCTCTGATAGGAAAGGCAGCTGAAGTAATTACTAGCAGAGGCTTTACCACCACCACCACCACCACAGAACATCATTCAGTGTAGTGGTTCCCATTTGTTCCTTGACAGATCACTTGGAAATTACTGGTTGTCTTGGCGGACCCATTTAATGATTTTTCTGCCTGTTGTAAAAAAAATGTAATGCACTGTGTTAGATACTGTGTGATTTTTATCTGTATTTTTATTGCTTGTGTTATTTCCTATGACGCGGGTGGCGCTGTGGGTAAAACCTCAGCGCCTAGGACTTGCCGATGGCATGGTCGGCGGTTCGAATCCCTGCGGCGGGGTGCGCTCCCGTCGTTCGGTCCCAGCGCCTGCCAACCTAGCAGTTCGAAAGCACCCCCAGGTGCAAGTAGATAAATAGAGACCGCTTACTAGCGGGAAGGTAAACGGCGTTCCGTGTGCTGTGCTGGCTCGCCGGATGCAGCTTGTCACGCTGGCCACGTGACCCGGAAGTGTCTGCGGACAGCGCTGGCTCCCGGCCTATAGAGTGAGATGAGCGCACAACCCTAGAGTCTGGCAAGACTGGCCCGTACGGGCAGGGGTACCTTTACCTTTTACCTATTTCCTATATTGTATTTTATAGTACAGGCACCTCCCCAATTGCGCAGGGGGTGCGTTTTGGGTCATCACAAATATTGACAGGATGCATGTAAGCCCGCCCTGCCCCGCCCCCTTCCAGGGCGGAAAATGTCGTGCGCATCAGCGATCACATTTGCCTCGAATGCACACAAAATGGGAGTTGCCTGTATTGTAATTTGCATTTCATAGAATTCAGATTTTAACACAAAAACACAATATTAAAAACAAAATTACTAACAAATGTACAGTTAAAATTTAATATGGATATTTATTGCGGGTATTCCACTGACCACCTGAATGAAGCTCGTGCACCATTGGTAGTCCAATAACCACAGTTTGTGAACCCCTGCTTTACCCTAATATAACAATATAGTTGATAAAAGTGAGGATTTCATTTGCCTTACTCCGCCAAACCTTTATTAGGCGTTACAAATATAGGCCATCATAAAACATCCATATGTAAAATTTTAACATATATACAAATAAACATCCATGTAGAAAAATGTAATAACGAGGATTTTCATTGGAGTTTCTTTCCACTAAATAGTGCCATTCACCATTCTAATACTCTTGATAAAAACTCAGCCACCCTTGCAGTTACTTCCGGGTTAATGTCAGATATTTCCATTGCGCTGCACTGTTAGACTACCCAATAAAGGGGATAGCACGTGTTTGCGTAGCTGGTTGTACAATGGACAGTAGAAAAGAATATGTTCTGTGTCTGGCACATTCAAACAACATCCGCAATGTCTGTTGTTTCTGGGGATGTTTAAATATTTTGGTGGTTGATTGTGATAATAAGATTAGCTTACTCTTCTATATTCTGATCTTGTTAAAAAAATTTTTTTTAACCTTTCATCTCAGGAGTGGCCACATGCTGACACACCAAAAAACGAAGCCGTTTATTTGCATAGAACAAGGTTGCAATAAGAGTTACTCAGACCATCGGTCACTGCGCCGGCATTATGAAATGCACCACGGTTTGAGGTTGTTAAAGGATGAAGAAGCTTGTGAGGCCTCCCCACCCCTCCACGATTCACGTGTGCAGGTGGGATCTAGTGGCATGAGAACTGCAGAGAGGCTGGCTGTTCACCCTGAATCCCAGGCCCCTAATAATTCCCTCCTGCCCCACAGAGACCTGTTGAGGTGTCTTGTAAGTAGCTTAGTCAGCCAGAAGCTCCCGCCTGCTTCTTCAACCTCTGTGGGACAGCCAGAGTCTGATTCTAGGGGATCCCAGCAGCCTTGCGCCTCTGTCTGCGGTCAGATTTCTTGTGTGCCAACAAGCACTTCAGTGCTCACAGATGCCACCAGTGATAAAGTGACGAAGGAGCTTTACCCTTGTCAAAAGAACGCCGCCTCTTCCAGTGTGTACACCATCATAAACCCTGGGAGTTTATCTGTACTTGGACCAGCAGAAAACATTGCAAACTTGCCAGACAGGCAGCCACATTCAGAACCTCAGTTTCCATTAGAAACCACAGCCCTGGAGTATTGGTCGAACAGTGGCGTGCCTCGTTTTCCGTTATTCAGAGGCCAGAAAATTCCTGCCACCTCTCACCAGTCAAGTGGCAACTTCCAGTGGGTCAGAAATGTGCCACCAACCTACACCCAAAGCAAAGGAAACAGTGTTTATCTTGCTCAGATGCCACCTGCTGCGGGTCAGGATGCCTCCCAAGGCCTCGTGGGACCCTCCCATGCTTTTGACTCCCTGTCGCAAAACTTTGAGCGCCCAGATGTTTTATCGTTCACTCCAGCCCTCTTAAAGTCACAGGGGGAGATCCCTGGAGAGCCGAATCTCAGTGGCTTTGAAGAGTCTTTCAGGCCAGCAACAAGGCTTCCAGATCCTATGAAGCACGGTGTGCTGCAGAAGGGTGAAGCCACACCGCTGTTCAGGCAGCTCTTAATGAAATCCCAGGAATCCTCTGTGAATCAGGATCAGCTCCAAGTCCAGGGTCGCCTGTTCCAAAGGATCACCAAATCTCAGCACATTGTGTCCCACACGCAGCTGTTGGCTCCGTTGCAACTGGCAGCTGCAGAGACTGAGCAGGTGGTAGCGAAACCACTTCAGAGTGTGTTTCCGCAGCAGGCAGGTTTGGTTCATCCAGTTCCTGAGCCCGCTGAAAGCGAAGGGTCCCCCTTGCGCGTAAAAAACGCCTTGTCCCAGTTTCAGAAGGACTTCTCGTTGGGCAGTGAGAAAGAAGGGCAACAGCCAGCTTCTCCTCCACAGTCCTTTCAGCTACTTGCCGTGCCTTCTGCAAGCACAGGCAGCATTTCCCATCCCAAGCACACCAGGACCTTGAAAAGATGCCTGGAGCTCAAAGACTTCTCTAGCCCTAGCCAGTCTGGAACATACGAAAACACCCCAGGAAACCACACATACGGGAAGCCGAGGCAGCTGGAGAATGGCTCTCCCGTACTGAGGAAGAAAGAGAAGAGTAAGGCTTGCGTCAAAGAACCAGGCTGCAAAGGGCATTCTCGCAGTGGCAGACCTCGCCGGAAGGAGAAGCTGAAGTTTGACACAGCTCCCATGGCTTCTCCCAGTCAAGTGGCCATGGCTTCCTTTTCTTTGCCTAGCACCTCATTTGATAGTGGGGCGAGAGAGAAACCAAAGCTGACCATTTTCAACAGGATTCAGGCATGTTCAAACCGTAACATGTTCATGTTTTATTTCTTTACGTGTTTACAGTATTGGTGGGGTCAGATAGCACCTTTCTCTAAAGTTTATGTCAAGGCAGCTGTTAGTGTGCCTATAGTTGTGTTTCCCAAAGTTGGGTCTCCAGCTGTTTTTGGAATACAACTCCCATCATCCTTAGCTAGCAGGACAGGGATGATGAGAATTGTAGTCCAAAAAAACAGCTGCAGACCCAAGTTTGGGAAATACTGGTCTCTAGCTTCTGGGAACTTGGAGGGGACTTAACAAAATTCTTCAGATAGTGTGAGCTGTTCGCCAGTAACTGATTTTATTTATTTTAGCAGAAGCCATTGTTGGAATTAAGAAAGGTCTAATAGGTGATTATCTTTGGCTTTGCTCACAGAGTGAACTCAGTATAAGTGCCAAGGCACTGGCAAAGAGGCCTTGGATCCCCTTTCTTCAGCAAGAGTGACAAGCAGAAGCAGACTTGTCCCTGCATATGTCTCATCTGCTCATTCCCACTGGCCTTAAGTTGATGTGTGCATGGGAGTGAGTTGGTGAGTACATAAGTGGAAAATTCTACCAAAGCTGCTGTTCTTCCTGCAAGAAGTGGGTTAAACAGCCCTTTTCCTATGGCCAGTTTGGGAGGAAATGGCTGAGGTGCATAATGAAAATGTGCGTGGGGGTGAGGGATGGTTCTAAAATTTAGGAAAAAGTGATGCCTCTGGGCACTGTTGGGCTCTCAGACTGCTAGCTCCCCATGTCTTGGTTACCCCTTTCCTCCCCAGCTGTGATCTCTGAAAATTGCCCACTCTCCCTGTATGACATGTTAGCAAGAGGAAGAAGTTCTCATTGAGCCTGGTGTGATCATCCCCCCTCCCTCACTGTTAATTGTAGTGCAGTGGGGCTATTTTCAAAGAGATCCTGGCTCCAAAGAGAGGGGTAAAACCTCCCCACCTACTGTGGTTCGGATCAAAATGAGGGCTGGGGGATGCTAACAAATTTTAAAACCCTGATGCAATTGGCAGTGGTGCATTTTGTGCAACATGTAGTTAGGCCCTTAGTAAAGAAGAGAGAAAAAGTAGACAAGAAAGGTTTTATGATTCCAAAAGCCTGAGGGCATCTGAGTAATGTTGAGCTCTCTCTCTGATCTGGAGATGTTTTATCTTTAAAAATATATAAATGTACTTAACTTTTTTTAACACAGGGTGGAAATATCTACAGCTTTACTAATGCAGTGAGGGAAGAGCAATTTCCCTTTGGTTGGTAAGTAGGGCATGGTTATGTTGGAGAAATTTCAAAGGGGTTCCTAGATAGGCAGTATCCCTCCCAGAAACCCAAAAGAAGAGTATGCAGGCTAAAAGTAAAAAGAGACCTTTATTGAAGTTCTAATGCGCATAGGGACAGCCTCAAAAATAAGGAGACTGCAAAGAACCACATCCAAAGTAATGTTTCTTATACACTTCCAGATTACACACATGATTTCTATTCACTATTAAAAGGATTACAGCAATCTTAGTAGTTGCAACCCAATGTCATCATCCTGAACCAATCAAAATCTTTTAGCTTGTCAGATCGGCCCTCATCAGAGTATCATGTTGGTTACATGTAATCATTTTTCAATGTCTTTATCAAGACTTTGACTACTTTTCCTATTCATTAAATGTATCCCAAGATCCTCTTTCATCTATCTACAAAACAATTCAATATTAATCACAGTTGCCATGCCTAGCTACCGTATTTTTCGCTCTATAAGACGCACCAGACCATAAGACACACCTAGTTTTTGAAGGAGGAAAACAAGAAAAAAAATATTCTGAATCTCAGAAGCCAGAACAACAAGAGGGATCGCTGCGCAGCGAAAGCAGCGATTCCTCTTGCTGTTCTGGCTTCTGGGATAGCTGCGCAGCCTGCATTCGCTCCATAAGACGCACACACATTTCCCCTTACTTTTTAGGAGGGAAAAAGTGAGTCTTATAGAGCAAAAAATACGGTAATTCTCTTTTAATGCATGCAATGGCGGCCATGCATTCTAACAGTTTATTCTTTTCAGTGTTCTGGAACAAACATTTGCTACATACAGTACCAGACACCAGAGTTCAAATCCCCGCATTTTCCACATTTCCGCTTGTCTCATGCCTAGGAAGAATGGGTCCAGGACATTTTCCATTTGGCCCTCGGCTTTCCCCAGGAAAACCCACTCTATACTGCTGAATCAGAACAAACGTCAATCCGCAGAAAACCCAATTGACGTTTGCTCCTGTTCAGCATTAAAGAGCGAGTTGCTCTAGGGGAAAGCAGCGGTACAAGCGGACGTTTGGACGAGCCCTTAGTCATGAAGCTCATGGGGTGAGTTGCAGTTTCTCAGCCTGACCTACATCATAGGGTTTTGAGGATAAAATGAGGAGGTGGAGAACTCTGTATGTCACCCTGAGCTGCTTCGAGGAAAGGTGAGCAAAAAATGGAAAAAATAAACTTGACATAGAGGAGTATCCAAAAATGGATTTGATTTTGGGAAAGCGAAGTGGGGAAGCTTATGCTCTCCCCAGGACACAAGTCTCACTGACCCTGCTCCGCACCCTCGTCCAGTGTTTTTGCCTGGCTTGAATGTGCCTTTTAACTTGGATAATGCTATTTGTTTGCCATATGAGAGTGTGTGGAAACTGTATAAAGGTAAAATTTACATTCTGTGCCCTGCATGCTTTCCCCTCTGCACCTGCTTACCACAGGACTGGCCTTTTGATTGGTTGTTCACGAGGGAACATGGCCCTCAAGGTGAAAAAGCCCCCCCCCCTTGACCTAGAGGCGAGCTGAAAGTCATTAAATCAGTCTTTGCCAATCTGGTTACCTCGGGAAGTTTTGGAGGTTGTCCAAAACATATGGAGGGCACCAGGTTGGCAAATTCCACATTAACCAAACACTTCCTGGGAGGGATGTTTCAAAATCAGCTTGTGGTAATGTCCCAAGGCTCTGGTGGTTCAAAGAAAGTAAGTGCAAAATTTGGCTGGGCTGCTGTAAGTCCCTAAGCAGCTCTCTGGATCCCAGCCATTATCTCTGCGGTGGCACTAGAAATTGTTACTTATGTATGATATCCCAGTGGAGTTTACTTCACTAGTTAGCACAGTTTGCTGCTAAATGAACTGTAGAAACACTTTTCCCAGGAAGACATAAAACAGGCTCTGAAGCAGGAAATGTAAATGTGAATGTAATACAGTTATGGGGGTAAATTACAATCTGGAAATTCAGGCTTCATAATATTACGTTTTTTCCCATCCCTTTTTGCTTCATTTTCTGCCATCAGTAGTAAGACTGGGGGAGCTCCTGGAGACAGGAGTGAGCATGGAAATGGCTTTGTTTGTACAACCTGCAGTCAGCTGTTTTATACTGAGAGGGGCCTGAACAGCCATATGTGTTTCTATAGTGAACAATGGCAGTCTCCAGGGAAGGAAAAACAACAGGTAAAAGAGAAATTGAACTCTGGTAAATGCATATTTGTCACTATTAATATTAGCCACTTATAAAACAAGCAAAAGTTTAACACTCTGGATGAATTGTTTGAATTCTCGGCAGTAGCCATAAAGCTCATGAGGTGGCCATGGGCAATTTCTCATCTTAAAGCCTAACCCATTTTACAAGGGGCCGTTGTAGATGTAATCCTAGCTTACTAGTAGCTGTGCAGGGAGGAATAGCATAGCTGTATGACTAAGAGATGGTTGCACGTTGCATCTTCACCCCCCCCCCCCAATTTTTTAAGGCTTATTTTTTCAAAAATTGCAAAACAATAACGGGGGGTTCAAGTTAATAAATAGTGCACCCCTGTCTTTAGAGCAGTTAAGGGACATAGTGGACCACTTTGCATGTTGAAATGTTGACTTAATCCAGAATATTTATGACCTTTATGTGTGCTCATGCACACACACCCATTTTTTGTGACTGGGAAAGCAAACCACGAAGCTGCAGCGATCCATAGCTCCCTAACGAGGTGTGAACTGGAAACTATGGAATAACAGGTTATGTGTTGGTGCACAGAGACTGTTCATATGCTGACTTACCAAGCTTAGATTTAATGGCCATTGGCACCAACTTTAACTGTGATAACGATTAAGGTTTTTGTTTCATTAGGATTAGAAATCATGGTTTAATGTAGGTCTGGGCTGATGAATGAGAATGTTCCCACAGCCACAGAGGTTGTTGTGATATGATAGATGGTCCACCGGGCAGCATCTAGGTGCATTTGAATTCCTTTCTCACCTCGAAATACATGCTTTTTGTTCGTTAAACCAGCTGTAATTATATGCAGTGGTCTTCTGATGTTACTTGGTTTCTGGTTTTCCTTTTTCCATTCGGTAATAAGATAATTCTCAGCTCCATTTGGGGGTTTGTGTGTCTCGACAGATTTCCTGAAGGGATGCAAAGTGTCTCTGCATACACATCTGTGCCCCTGATACTTGGATCCTTGCATTGTCTGCCCATCATAATTTTACATTTATATAGAAAATGTGCACCCCACCTTTCCACTTATGGGTGTCCAGGGTGCTTAACAATATAAATGAAAAAGGCAATCCATAACATTAATAATGATGGGGATTTTGCTAGTCGTGATAATAATGCTGGCTTACCTTAAAGGGCAGTTATAAGGATTACCAAAATAATGTATGTGTAATGTTTGAATTCTGAAAAGCACTACATAAATGCTAGCAACCATTCTTGTTAATACACAGCACAATTCTGTGCATGTTTACTCAGGAAAGCGTGCATGGGATTGTATCAATTTAGTGCAATCCTGTACATGTCTGCTCAGAAAAGAAGTAAGTCTCCCTGACTTTCATAGGATATCACTACCTAGTAATAGGTAAAGGTTTGCAGCTTTAGAAGCTTAAAAAAAGGAATGCAAAAAACGTATATATTTCATTAGCTACTCTTGTTTCTATATCATTTTTCAAATACAAACAAACCTGGAAGTTGTTCGTGTCTGCTGCAAGGGCTTTCAAAAGGGTAGAAACTGAAATAAAACAAAACCAAAAGCTAGCCGCAGTATTGTCTTCTGTATACTTGTTGCTAGAATGCACATTTCTTTTTATATTTCCTTTCCCTTAAGGCATATGAGGCAGAGCATTTGCAACCTCAGAAACTGTCCTTCAAGGCATCAGGGGATGGAGATACTCCTCCTGAAACCAAAAGGCCTTCGGAAGATGTAGCAGTAGCACCTCTTGTAATCCCTGTTTCGGTACCTGTAACGGCTGCAAACCTTCAGCAAGAGAGCAAAGTGGGTGGTGATTTGCAGTGTTAACTTCAGATCAATACAGAGAAGACAAGCCGACTGTTTGGGATCTAACTGATAGAGAGTTCCGGTGGGGTTTCATACTTAGCCTAGCAATTTGTGCAAAGATCCACCCTATGCAGGGTGATAGGAAAGGGATCTGCACTGCTGGAAACCTAGAAGAAGAAATTTAAAATAATTTTTATTTCATAGTTAGCCAAAATAATTTTAAATATTTTTCAGTGTTTGCGATGGACGTTTGGACTTCCTTGACTCTTCAGGGCAGGGATGGGGAATCTGTTGCCTTCCAGATGTTGTTGGATTATAGCTCACATCATCCTTGACAGTTGGTGGCTGGGGCTCATGGGAGTTGGAGTCCACTAGAACTTGAAGGCACCAGGTTCCCTGCAGAGCTCCATAGTTTTAGACAGCATCACAGGCATCTTTCTTTGAGCATATCTTAAACTATCTTAATAGCCATTTCCTTCCATTACTTATTTTGTTTATATTCCATATTTCTTCCATGAGGAAACTCAAGACAACACCAGTAGTGTTTCTAGGCATTTCTTTACTCGGTCATAGTCCCCATGCACATTTAGACCATAGCCCTGGAACCATTTATATAGTGCTTTTAAAGTGTTTAAAGCTCTTTACTAACATTACTTTGTTAAAACAACAAAGAGTTACGGCACCATAAAGACTTAACTCATTTATTAAGGCATATACTTTCATGGATCATAGTCCATTTCATCAGATACACGAAGTGTTTCATATACACATGGCTTGAGGGGAGACTTATAAACAGTGAGGCCACAATGAAATGAAATGCAGAAAAGTACAGAGAATATTACATGATGAACAGTGGCCATTCACAAAAAAAGTTCCTGATAATGCATACATCCTGGCATTAAAAAACGTGTTGCAATTTTAAAAAAGAGATACTTTGCCCCAATCTTGAACTCAGTATAATACTCCGTGCATCTGGTGAAGTAGATGGTAGTTCACAAAAGTGTGTGCAGTAATACATAGTCTTTAAGGTGCCGCAAGACTTGTTTGTTTCTATTGCGTAACTGGAAAGTACCTTGGTACAAGCCCTTAACGCCACCTGCAAGGCAGGTCAGTATTATTACCATCCCTGTATTTGCAGATTTTGTGTGTTGGGACTGAGGCTGAAAGAGTGTGGCTTGCCCGAAACAGAGTTGCCAGCAACATGCTGATTTATAGTTCAATCTCTCTGCATCTGTACCACACCAGGACTCTGAAAACAGAGATCTCTCCTAACGCTCCATTCTCAATATTAGTCCTGTAATTGGCAGCAATAGGTAGGGGGAAGAAATGGTTGCTGTGGCCGTTCGAGAAAATGTACTTGAAAGTTTGCCTGGCAACAGTTGAGGCTGAAAATGCTGCCATTTGGCCAACATGATTGTGACATCACTGTTCCCTCAGCGACGACTTACTCATCCCGAGTTGGGTTCTCACGTCTTGAATCCTGGCAGACCCCAGAATCTTGTCAGGCCCTCCTCCATTGTCTCCTGAGGCCGGCAGATGCGAACTGTCAACCGTGTGTGCCAGTAGAGCATGGTCAACCTCTTCCTCTGCTTCCAGTCCAACTGGAAGGAAAGGAAGAAGGTGGTGAAGCGTGGGGGTGGGGAAGGAAGAGAAAGGCAGGCAGCTTACCTAGCTGTGCACAGATGGAAGGTCATCTACAGACAACTGCAACCTCTCCCCACATACCATAGCATTCAAGGATTCCAAGGCAGATGATGCCTCCTATACAAAAGCGGGAGAGAGGTAGAAATTATTATCTACGACCATGGGAGTCCGCCTCAAAGAGTCAGGCCATTGCATTCCAAGCGCTACCTAGAAATACCAGGGATTGAATTTGGGACTTTTAATATATACTCCAACACAGAAACAGCCCACAGAAACCCAAGTCTGTTTCGTGCCTCTTTTGTGCCTAACTGAAGCACCCTAGGATGAACATCGCCCCCCCCCATCTATGTTGGGATTGAGCCAGCAAGTAAAAGGACATTCAGTTCACTTACCACCACCCTCCACCCCACTGTTCAGAAACAACACTCCTGTTCCCCTCTCCAGCTGCAACAAGAGACCATTAAGACCCCAAAGACATCAGACTGCACACATTAAATGGTCTCTCAGATTCCGCAATCCTGCTGTCCAGTTCACCTCCAACCCAAGAAGTCCTGATGAATGGAGGTAGGGGAAGAAGGTGGTTTCTTATTTCCTCTCCCACACAGGTACACTCAAAAGGATGAGCCCCTCATCTTCCATCCATGTAAAGACTGCAGTTTCCTAGGCCTGACAAGATTTTGGGGCTTGCCATTATTACCTGGAATGAGAATGAAATCCCAGCCCACTAGCTAAAGACTCATAATCAGAAACAGGAGGAGCAACAGTGATGTCATAATCCTTATTATCCACCAACAAGGCTGCATTTTCAGGCTCCAGGATTGCAGTTTTGAGCTGCCTTAAAAATACTTAAAAGTAATGGGAACTATTAACAGCTACAGCAGTGGTTCTTTTCTGCATAGCTGTTGACCAAATAACACACATGCAGATACGTGACATTTTGGGGAAATCCCCAATGTGGTGGTGGGGGCTACAGATATTTTAAATGCCCACTACAAACTACAATTCCCAGGATTCTCTGGGGGACATCATAACAATGTTATAAAAGCTAATATGAGTCTGTAGTGTAGATACTTTACTTGGTAGGATAACCTCAAGCGGGTGGTCTCAAATTAGTTAGCCATAGGGGAGGAGGCAGCTTATTAGGACAGGGTTCTTGTGGGAAACACCCACAAGGATCCATGCAGGGCATGAGGTTTTTTTTCCAGGTAGTAATATCAAATCACATGGGCTGTATATTTCGTCTTAGGTTGAGGAGAAGGAAAGCCAGGATGATAAGGATTTCCAAGAAGGCATGCAAAAGAAGAGGAAGAGGCGATCTCGTCCGAAATCTCTTTTCATCCCACCTCCTCCACCTGTCCTCATTGAGATACAGCCTGGCACTGGAGGATGCTTTCAGAGTAACCTCCGTTCGCCTGTCTTCCTCATGGACCACCTCATCCAAGGCTTAGTCCAGTGCTCCCCTTATACGCCACCTCCGATGCTCTCTCCCATTCGTGAGGGGTCAGGGCTGTATTTCAACACACTCTGTTCTTCCTCTACAAATGCTGCTTCTACCAAGATGTACACCTCTGTTCTAGGTATTTAAAACAACCATCTTTCTATGACTGAATATACAAAGCAGTATTGTACTGAGTGAGGCCGCTCATTCATCTGGCCTAATGCTGTCTAATCTGACTGGCAGCAGCTTCCTGCAATCTTCACTGTGTTTATTGTTAACATCATTATTATGGTTATTATTATGATTATCATTATTACTATTTTGCAATTTTAGATGGAATGGACGGAGCCCTTTTGTTCTCTCTTGTGAAAGATACCACCAAAATCAGCATAGAACCGTAAGTGAGGGAATGATGACAATGGTAAACAAATCCAGTAATATCTTGTACTATGTTCTTTCTCATAGATTTGTAGCTGGGCACATGTAAGAATGTTGTGAGTCATTCCAAGATTCTTACACCCTATGTTTTCTACCCACATCATCGCTGCTTGGCCATTTCAGATCTCATTCGCTTTAATTTAAGAACAAACACTCCCTGCATCCCAGACTGCTTTTTGTGCAGCTGTTAGGTGATTACCATCTGCTTTCATTACTTGTGCTTTGTTTACATTTTGACACTGAAAAGCAATTACTCCCTTACAGGATGGAGGAGGGTATTCTTGTGTCATTAAAGTAATCAGCACTCTGGTTATCTCTTGGCCTGTTCCAAACAAGCAATTAATACCCTCTGGGAGGAAAACCACAAAAACTTCCAGCAGATAACGTCCAGAATTAAGTCACCGCAGCCTGCAAAACACATGGCTATTAAGAGGAGTGTTAAATTTGCCAAAAAAAGCAATCTATAAACGGCTGCAGTTCCAGGAGAACCCAAGTACAGGGATCCCTCACAGAAGCCATTCCAAATCTTAAAAACCTTAAGATGTGAACTGACCTTTGAAGCAGAGTAATGAAATACTAGGCCGGGTTTTGCAGTACAGGCACTAAGTCATGAGAACATCCTTCAGATCCATTTTAAATTTAGGAAGACTTCCTCTTCGTTTAAAAGTTAATCGGGCCCTTAAAATAGTGTTGCTGTCGGGTTTCTGTAGTAGTTCAGTGCTACTTCATCTGTATGACAAAACAAATATTTCATCCGCTGAAGTCTCATAAGGCTCACATGAACTAAATTCTTTAGTTATAATTAAATAGACAGGATTGGAAGAACACTGCCAATGTCTTAGACAAAATTAGAATCAGAACAGATTGAAACCAGGATATTCACTGTTTTCTTTAAACTTTACCTCTCCTCTCTGTTCAGGACCAAACTAGACAATATGTTAAATTTGTGTCGTGTATAAAGTGTCTTGTTTTTACTTTTAAAAGAGCCCTGTGGAGGAGGCTGTTAGGCTCAGTGGAAGTATCTGGTGGTGGGATAACAACTTGGTGGAAGTGGGGGTACAGATTTTTACCAGGATCATGACACAGAGGAAAGGGTTTAACCCTACCTGTATGCTATGATCCCAATTCTGATCAGGGCCTATCTGTTGTTGTTTTTTGTAAAGTAAACATGCATGCATGCATGCATGCATGTACTTAATGACTCATCTAGCTTGGCCCTTGGTGAAATCCAGTATGATAGTTGTTCATTTTCTGTTAGTATTTTTAGGCTTAACCTGTAGGAGATTAAGCATTTTAATCATTTTGCATTACTGTTTGGATGCATATCATGATTTTGCCGGATAATGGCAGATGTAGGCCAAAGTGCAGATACCCTTTTGCTGGCTTTGTTCTGTATAAGGCCAGACTTGTAAACAACCCTTCTCTCTTTCCAGCTATGTGTGCATTTGATGTCCCGCACAGGTGTGTTCTGTAAACTTTTAAAAAGACCACTCCTTTATTTGCAATGCTTTAGAAAGGGGACCCACCAGCGGTTTTAGCCATTGAGACATACAATTTATTGCAGGTCCAAGGGCAAAAAGGTAATTCTGTTAAGATTGGCTAGGGTTCCCCTTGGGTTTGTTGCTTTGCAATAAACTGACAGTGGTGGAGAGGTGTGGTTTAAATATAGCACTGAAGTAGAATAACTTTTGAACATGGAGCATCTTCTGACTAAAGTCGGTTGGAATGACCTTTCAGCCATGCAGCAAAAAAAAAAAGCAAAACCCAGCCCCCCTTCCCCCCCAAGTAATCCAAATGGTTCATGTTTTGCTAGTGCCCTAAGACCAAGGTTCAGTTTTATGAACCTAGAGAAGCTTCTCAAACAAAGGTCTTGAGCAAATAAAAATACTTTAAACAACTGCTTGTAACTTCTCAGGGTGGAAAGGCTATAGGTTTTTGTTCAAACAGTGTCTCTGCTGGAAGGTAAACTTTAACATGCCTGCCTCTTCATGCATGTAAAGATTGAGATTAACAAAGCCCTAATCATTAATTCTGTTTTTTAAAAATGGGTTTTGGCCTTTTCATCATTAGTTCTTCCGTTTACCTTTGTCTTAACTTTCATCCTGATGTTCCTTTCAGTCCTTTAGCAGGTTTACTTGATGTTTGGATGCATGTAATCTTTTATTTGTTACCATATTTTTCGCTCTATAAGACGCACCTAGTTTTTGGAGGAGGAAAACAAGAAAAAAACCACTCTGAATCTCAGAAGCCAGAACAGCAAGAGGGATCGCTGCGCAGTGAAAGCAGCAATCCCTCTTGCTGTTCTGGCTTCTGGGATAGCTGTGCAGCCTGCATTCACTCCATAAGACGCACACACATTTCCCCTTACTTTTTAGAAGGGAAAAAGTGAGTCTTATAGAGCAAAAAATACAGTATATGTTATTCAGCATTTTTCGTAAAAATCATGTCTCAAAGCACCTACGCCAGGTGGAGCGTTTCTGCTGCACCCTGTCCCCCACAACACTTGACTCTCATTACACCCAAGGGTTGCTTTACTACAGCATAGCAAGGTTTACTGGTTCATGTTTGTTTTCGTTGCCACATTCACCGTCCAAAATGCTGTATAGAATATGGTCATGAGACAGGATTCCTCCCAGAGAACCTAGGGTGGGATTGAATGAGGTTAACTGGTAAGCTGATAGCACAGAAGAGGTAAGGCTTATGTAGCAAGAGTGGCTTTGTCAGAAATAGCAGCAGGTTTTTGGATTAAAGGTGGAGGAGGTGAATGGGGTGGTAGAGGGAACAGGGAGGCCGTTTCTGGCACAAGAAGCAACGTGGAGGAAGGGGAGCAAAGGAAAGCTCAGCAGTAGATGAGCCTGAATGCCAGGTAGCTTGCCATGCTGGAGTACTGTTAACAAGATTGGGTTAACGTGCCTGTGGGTTAAATGTACCCAGTAACAAGATAAATCCGTAACAGGATTAGCCTCTGATTAGTCAAAGTGAGTTTTGTGTAGGTCTTGCTGGAGCAAGTATGGAAAATGGCAGGTTCCCTCTGCCTGGCATCAGAGGCAGCTGTCTCATGCTTGTGTAGATAATGGGGTACCTTCCCTTTTAACATACTACATTTTTGAAAAGCAGGGGGAGGGCACCCTTAAGAAACCGCTCTGCCTCATCATTTGTGTTTCTTGATAGTTCTTCCCTTGCACTTTTCACTTCTGCAAATTCATCTCCTTTGTTCCCTTCCAGTCCTTGTGCCGGCTGTTCCTAGATTCCTACTGCCACCCTTCCCTTTCCCCTCCATTCAACCAACTCCTCCCTATATTACTATTTATGTGCCCAAACTTCATTTATTTTATGTGTCCAGGTAAGGTTCCACTATCCATCTGACTCTTTTAATCACCCACTCTTCACCTTTGCCTTGTCCTCCTAGGGTCTAAACTGTAAGACATTTGTCCCTTCTGTCCATCACTTGTAAAGTGTTGAATAACAGTAATAAAATTGTCCCAACAAACTTGGGGTAAGTGCAGAAGTGCTTTTGTTTCTGTTACTGATCCCGAGAGATTGTGTACTTTTAAGCCTCATGGACCATCTATTCGTGTGGAAATAGCAACTTGGAAACTTCCCCTCTTTATCTTCCATGTTTGGCCTAATTTTAATTTTACCATCTCTTGCTTGTTTATTGTTTCTCTTCCCTCATAAGCCTTCACATTCTCTCCCCCTCCCTTTTTTTCCCTTTACCTCATCCGTCATTTCAGGCACATCAACATTGGAAGTCGTTTCCAAGCAGAGATACCTGATCTTCAAGACAGATCATCCTTAGAAAATTGTGAGCATCCAGCCTCACTAGTGTGGAAGCCGTGGGGAGATATCACAACCAACAAAGAAACACAGAAAAGAGGTGTGCAAAAATGGGGTGGCGGCGGAGTTTTCCCACCTGAGGCTAACCCTCCCCAATTATACTTCATTTGTCTCTTCTTCTGTTCCGTTGCATTTTAATTACTCTTGTGCAGACATTTGTTCATGCTTTTAAAAAAATCTCACTTGCAGTAACAGATCTGTTAAAATTGGCCTGCTCCAGTGCGATGCCAGGGGGAGGAACCAACCTAGAACTAGCTGTCCATTGCCTGCATGAAGCCCAAGGAAACATTCTGGTAAGATGCAATAAATTCACACTGGGCAAAACGCACCGGGTCTTAAGAACATAAGCATAAATTACCCTGCTGGTTCAAGCCAGTGGCTCATCTAGTCCAGCATCCTGTTCTCACTAGGTGCCCCTATGGAAAGCAAATAATAATAATAATAATAATAATAATAATAATAATTTATTATTTATTCCCCAGCCACTCTGGGCGGCTTCCAACAGAACACTAAAATACAATAACCTATTAAACATTAAAAGCTTCCCTAAACAGGGCTGCCTTCAGATGTCTTCTAAAAGTTTGGTAGTTATTTTCTCTTTGACATCTGGTGGGAGGGCGTTCCACAGGGCAGGTGCCACTACCGAGAAGGCCCTCTGCCTGGTTCCCTGTAACTTGGCTTCTCGTAGCGAGGGAACCATCAGAAGGCCCTCGGCGCTGGACCTCAGTGTCCGGGCAGAACGATGGAGGTGAGGACCTGAGCACATCTGCCCGCATCTGATTCCCAGCAGCCAACGTTCAGTTCATTCATAAAATCATTACCATTCTACCTCCAGCAGCGGAGGTAGAACATGGCCATTGATAGCCTTATCCTCCATGACTTGGTCTAATCTTTTAAAGCAATCTAAGCATGTGGCCGCCGCTACATCTTGTGAGAGCTGCTTTGTCGGGCTGTTGAGAATCTCAGGTTCCTTGTTTTGAAGGCTTTCGCAATTTCGGGATTGTAGGCTTTAGCCAAATGTTTGGTTTAATTTATATTGGGAGTGCCCCTAGCTGAATGGCACGATGCATGTTTTGTGTGTGGAAGGTTCCACGCTCAATGCCTGGTGTCTCCAGTTAAAAGTTTGAAGGAGCTGGTGTCGTGAAAGACCTCAGAGAGCCAGTGCTAGTCAACATAGGCAAGACTCTAACCTGGGTGGATAAACAAATAGCTGGATCTGGTAAAAGCAGCTTCCAATGTTAAGGAATATTGACAGAATCTATTAAATCTGGGTTTTTTGGGTGCGGGGAGAGCAGTGGCTCAGTTACATGCAAATACACTTCAGTGGAGTAATTTGTTAATGGACTAAAGTACAGTGGTACCTTGGGTTAAGTACTTAATTCGTTCCGGAGGTCCGTACTTAACCTGAAACTGTTCTTAACCTGAAGCACCACTTTAGCTAATGGGGTCTCCTGCTGCCGCCACGCCATTGCAGCACAATTTCTGTTCTCATCCTGAAGCAAAGTTCTTAACCCAAGGTACTATTTCTGGTTTAGCGGAGTCTGTAACCTGAAGCATATGTAATCTGAAGCATATGTAACCTGAGGTACCACTGTATAGTCCTTTTTGACAGGCCTAGTTTGCTTTGCCTCCGTGAAACTGTATGTTGGTTTAATATTGGTGATGAGCCAGTGCGCGGCCACTTGATGCCATGCACAGCATACTACTGGCCAACACACATCCGCTGTATATTGATGCACAAACTGCAGAATCCATACTGCAGACTCATTGACATTGGGGGGGGGGTGGCGGAGAAAATGAGCACAGGATGGCTTGCCCCCTCCGTATTGTGCAGCCTTGTAGCAGTGGAAACAGATGCACTCAGGCAACACTAAGAAAAAATATTTTCCAAGTGTTTGTGCAGAAACAGCGCCGCCTTGGGCAGCTGCCAGATGTCAACTGATAGGGAGACTGGACTCATTAATTGCAGTTAATAGGAGTCTGTCTCTTTCTCTCCCTCGTGGACTTCTACCAGTTCCCTTACTTGTTTCTACTTGGAGGGAGTTATGACAGCTTTCTCTAAAACAATTACAGGACGCGCTGGAGATGCTGTTACTCCAAGGACCACAGAAGCCTCCCTTTCATCCTCTTGCTAACTATCATTACTCAGGTAAAAGCAAATTGCCTACATTAGGGTATAACCATTGCTTCCATGAAACCCATAAGTATTTAGCAAGATGCCATAGCGGCTGCGTTCACGCTGCACGGTTTGTGGCTTACCATGCACGAGTTGATCACGCCCACTTTGCTTCTCTCCAGTAGCGCTGGGGGGAAACAAACCACGATCCCTGGTTTAGCATTGCCTCAGAATTCTGCACAGAAGATTTTAAAACACTTGGATTACATTTAATGCAATTCTGAACCTCGTAGTTCTCAAGCAGAGTACTGCTCCAGTTGTCCTTTGGGAAAGAATATAAGTGTCTAATGAAATGCAAATGCATGTTCATTGCCCAAAAATGGTGCAGAATATCATTCAAGTGCTATTGGCTGACCTCTCCTCACAGTGACTCTTAGCATGTGGGGCCACATAGTGGCATGCAGTGGGAGAAGCGTTCTAGCATGTGGAAGAAAATAATGCTCACTACTGCCTCCCAGTGTTGGAGCACTGTTCTATCTGAGCAGTTCACATTATGTCAGCACATTATTAAAATAGCTTTTGTGTGGTGGTGATGAGCCCCATATTGAAACTTCGTAGAAAACAAAGATGTTAATTAAGGACACCAGAAGTTCTGTACTGCCAAAATTTCTGGTAATTTTTTTTTTAATGGAGGAAAATTGAAGGTTGTGATCTTAACATTAACTTTAAGCATGCAGCAAAATTAAGTATAGCCAAATACATCCCCTCCAAAGCTTTATGATTTCATAGTTTAGGTTTGAAAAATAGCTGAAATGTTGAAGCTAACATCAGAATTGGAGAATTGAGCCTTATTTGTCCATTGCTGGATGAGAAATATCGTTAACATGCTCTCACCCTTGGTTTTTAATATTATGAAAATAATGTGAGCTATATTAATCTCGGCAATGAATTTTAAATGCTAATTATAAACAGACCAGAGGTCCTGAAGAGTTTTCCAAACACATCGATAAACTCATTATCATGCAGGTTTCCCAGTGCAGGGAGAGTAGGCAGAAGAGGGGCAATAAAGTTTTTAATTTTGTGAGAGCAATGGACCATTAAACAGACTGCCTGTCTCCTGTTTCTTGCTGCACTTCCAGGTTCACATCTGTGGACTCCTGCGGAGAAGCAGTTGTTCAAGAAGGCTTTTGGCTTGCACAAAAAGGATTTTTACCTCATACAGAAGAAGGTAGGGCCTTCAGTTGGCAGTGGAGCCATCTTTCGGGCTGCTTCATCTCACAAAACAAAGTGTCTCCCCTCCAATATTTAATCTGAAGGTTATCCAATAGTGTTTGGGTTTTTTAAAATCCTATTTTAGAAACTTTTGTTGGCATTTAAAGCCCCTGATTATGTGGTCATGTGTATTATAGCATCTTGGGATTATTTTGCGCAAAGAAGTTCCCTGCTCACAAATTGACTGAGGCTGAATCTAATCCCAGATCCACAGGAACAGAATGAAGAGAAAATGAAAACAACATATATGCTGTATATTTAATATTGCATCAGTTGCTCCTTTGTTCACTTTGAATTTTTCTCCCTCTTCCCCCCTTCCCCCCATCCTTTTCAATAGATACAAACTAAGACTGTTTCCCAGTGTGTTGAATACTACTATAGCTGGAAAAAAATACTAAAATTTGACACCAGTCGAGCACAGTTAGTAGAAAAGAGGCCCAAGAGAGAGCAGGATGAGGTAGAAATGGATGAAGAAAAGGTATATAAGAGATTGATGGGGATCTGGCAGAGGTTTGACTGACTGATTTAAAGCTGTGCCCTTTACCTTTCCCTCCCTGCTTTAGGAAAGGTAACATTCACCGCAGCAAAAACTCCTGGGGACAACGGCTTTTCCTTACCAGCTTCCTCACGCATCTGTTGAAATAGATGCTTCTCTACGAAAGCTCATGCGGCAATAAATGTATTGGTATTTAAGGTGTCCTGGGACTCTGTTGTTTTTACTACGAAAGACTAACGTGTCTGGCTCTTTTTTAGGGCGTGAGAAGAAGCTCGGTTTCCATAGCTGTAGATGCCCTCAGTATCATTCATGCGCCCTTTACTTTTTTTAAATGGTGGGGGTGGAGTTCTGATGGGGGCAGTGACATATATCGGGCAGGTGAACCTATCACAGCTCAGCACAGAATCGCTGCACCCTTTGCAATGGCTACCATTTGATCTTGTGTCTCTTTTAAAATCGGTCTTTTGATCAGCACCATCACACTCTTTTTGCTATAATTAAAAAAAAAAAAGTGAAATACCTCTTAAATGAAATAGCATTTTAGCATTATAACACTATGTTTAAAACAGTGCTGAAAAACCAAAATCTCTTTTCTGGTCACTGCCATTGTCACAGGAGTGACCAGAAAGGTGTTTTGTTTTGAATCGCTATTTTATTAGAAGCTTTGCATTACAGCACAAATAACCTTTTTTAAAAGAAAACACTTTAACAAAATGGAAAACGGAAACTTTTCCAGCTAACTTTAACTACCTTGTTAACATGGCGATGACTAGAAAGGGTTCTTTTTCTTTCCCCGTTAAAATAAAATGCATCATTGTGCATTCATTCAAACATTTATACCTTGCTCTTCAGATGGAAAAGCTCCCAGAGCGGTTTACAAATCAGTAAAATTAACACCATCTCTGCCAGATTAGGCAAAATTTTAGCTAAACACTTTGGAGCTGGGTATGAGCAGTAAACCATCTTGCAATAATTTTTCATTTATACTTACTGATGGAGATACAGATATTTTAGGACGCCTGTAATCTCTGCTTGAAGGATCATTTTGACATTTCATTTTAAATTCATTACCTTTGCTACCTTCTTAAGAGAGCAATATCTGATATTTTTGACACTGATTTTGAAATATTACTTCCTTGACGTTAAGTTTTTCAAATACTGTGAAGTCCATATTGATAGTTTCCTTCTCTGTGATGTTTAAATCAGGTTACTTCTAACTTGGAAATACCAGTACCCTATAGGGGAGTTAGAATTCATTCCCCCCCCCCCTTTCATTTCAGTTTCTTATTTTTGTGTCCTGCCCTGGGATCCCTTTGTGAAGAAAGGCAAGTTAGAAATACCTGAAAATAAACAACGCTCTTTCATTTAGGTGGTATTTCACTAATATATATATATCAAAATATTGCTGGAAAAGACTGATTAAAATGGCACCTATTGTAAAGGTTATTTAACGGTGAAGGTGCACTGAGCTTCAAGCGACTGCTGGGTTAAATTGCACCTCATTCCCTGCCCATTGCATTTATGTCCTGCCCCCTGTTGTGAACAGAACAAAATGGGATGTACATACAGAAGAAGGCGTAGTATCCCCAATATTGTGGGAGGTGCACTGCAATTCTACTTGTGGCTTTTATCGGAAAAGCAGCAATTGGATATCGCTAGGAGCCACCCACCTAGAGGCCGCTCTAGGCTGGCCCATCCATTCCGGAAGGCGTGTAAGAACTGCTGTGTTGGTTTAAACTGGACTCTGCAGCCTCTTTGTAGATGCAGCTTGTGCATTTTCTCAGAAGGGCTGAGGATTTGATTTTATCCTGAAAACAGCAGCTGAGGTTCTCAGGAATCTAAATCCCTCGCCAGTTCCACATTCCATATAGAATTGGGTATAGGTGCAATTATGAAAGGTGCCTACTTCAAGCCCTGGTGAGAATTCATTGTACCACTGGATATGTAAAAAATGATTCTTCACAACTTTCGATAAAGAAACGAAGCACATTTGAATCCTCGCCCCAAAATAAACTGGATGAAGGGGCAAAGCAGACATGATAGTCAATCACATGAATGTCGCTTACATAATTCATTTTCTTTAGTAAATATCAGCAGTGTTGAGGGATTTTGCCCTTGGCTGTGGTCTGTGTCTGAGCTGGAGGAGCTGGAACTGATGAGGTCCTTAACCAGGGCAAAGAGTTAAAGATCTCCATCCCCATGCTGCTGCTATTTGTTTCAATAAAAACAAGCACTTGGCAGCCATTATGTGATTAACTTCATCCCCCTCCCTTTAACCCTTCGTCTAGCTTGCTATGGGAGCGAATGGAGTTCTGGTCCACATCTTGCCTCTGAATGTTCTGCATCTCCTGAATACTACATTCCTTTCAGTGTGGTTCAGATCTGATACCATCTCAAAATGCTAAAGTGCCACCAAGTGTCGCCAGCCACATTGGAAAGATAATGAATTTATCTTCGGATTCTTTATTGGGCTTTGCCAGAGACTTAATAATAGTGTGAGAAGGAAAATTACTTCTGTGTAAAACACCAATGTTTCATGACTTGCAGATAGCGTGCAGCCCAAAGAAACGGCACTGCCACCTGCCTAAACAGGAGAATAAGCTAAAACCAAGGAATTACAAAAAATCAGCACAGAGCACTTTCAGTCCAGCCAGCAGCCAGAAAGAAACTTTAGATAGGCCCAGAAGCACAGGCAGTCAGGGTGTGTTCCCGTGTAAAGAATGTACAAGGTAACAATTCAACGTTTTGGTTTCTTGTGCCATTTTTAAAAAATAAGTCCACTTGGTGCTTAGCCATAAATTTGTCCCCAGCCCCCTTCCCTTTTTATAGTTGGTTTACTATGGCACTTTGGGCAGGGTTCACGCCGATCGCCATCCTTTGTGCCCATCGCTAAGCGAGAAAGAAAACCCCACCCTTTGTCAGGGGGGAGACCATATTCTTCCTCTTGCACCGAAACCGGGATTATGCGTGCGTCACTCTCGCATTGCTGTAGCATCTCACCTGAGTACTGAAAAACCCTGGCCTTTATCTCCCGTTTACATCTAGAGTGTTTGACAAGATAAAAAGCCGGAATGCTCACATGAAGCGCCATCGGCTGCAGGACCAGATGGAACCGATGATAAAGATTAAGTGGCCCATGAAGCATCTGAAAAATGAGCCAGAGAAGCAAGAAAGGAACTCGGATGTTGATTTCCTCCAGTGGTAACTGGGAAGCGCAGTTTCAGGGTGAGATTGCTGGTCAACTAGAAAGTGCCAGTGAAACCAGCTAGGATTTGAGTTTTATAGCACCTGTTCATTCACTTGAGCGGGTTGAAATTAGGTTCTGTACACAATAGCCTCTTTATGCTACTGGGAGCATAGGAACTGATTTTTAAAAGAAAATAAAAATACTCATAAATAGCTTCTAGCTTGAACTCAGATGAACTAGAAGTAGCAAATAAGTGCTCCGTTGTCCTTTCAAATGGGCTTCCATTTGTGGCTATTGCGGGGCAGAATTTGATGGTATGGATGGCACAGGGCTGCTATCCAAAGACAGCCCACCTGCTTTTCTGACCTTCCATAATGTCTGGTAGCGAAATTCAGCATGTGATTGGACATCACACTGTGTGTCTCCTCAACACCTGTGGAGGCAGCCAGTGACAAGAGAGGGAGCAGAGAAATCCTGAGTGTTGGTATTACATCATGTGATGCGTTTCACAAGATGGGGCAGAGGACGAGGAGAACATGCGGGGGAATCCTTGTTGTGGCAATGGTAATCCTTGTGTAGGATGTGCTCGTAGGATACCATTCGTGATTGCATTTTTGGGAGCAGCCCTGTGCCAGCCATGACGTCTAGTGAAAGGCAGGATGTGCTAGGTGTTGACTTAAGCACCATTAAAACTTCAGCTGGGGTCGGGTTTGACAAAAATAAAAAGCAGGATTATGGCATTCAGTTGACTCATGCTTAAATTTACCATAGAAAAGGAGGTGTGTGAGTTAACTGAGTCTGCATTAAATTCCAATTAGCCACAGTTGTAAGGATCCTATACAGCTGCCAATAACTGTAAAATAGCTTTTGCTCAATTACAGGGATGCTTATTCGTGCTTTTGTTCAATTACAGAATGAACGCCCTCGTCGTTCTGCTGAAATGTTATGAGTAACCCCCGTTCTCCCGCTCCCTCTCTTCCAGGGTTCTGTTATTTTTTTGGAGGACGGACGGAGTAGGCCAATCAATGAGAAATCACCATTGTATTTAGTATCTTTTTTGTGATTGATGTTCACACGACTGCTTTTTGATTCACGCTGTAGTACCACATTGATCTGCGTTATTGTTATTTTGTATGCACTCACAGTGTTGCTTAATTAAATTGGGTTCCACAACTGAAGTTGTAAAGTCGTCCTGGATTCTTACACCAGAGGATAAACATCCAGACACGTGTGGAGGGAAGGGGGCAACAGCCATCACAGTTGCAGGTGGGACTCAAACTACAGGCCTTCTAGGAGCTGTGCTGGACTGCGGTATACTGAACCACTCCAGCTCTCTGGAAACCATAGACTTACTTGGGCCCAAGTAATTAAAATAGCACTTTCCCTTATTCAACTGCAGGAAAACTGGCTGGGTTAGGGTTTCTGTGTGTATTTCCCTTTTGTCAGTAAGTAGCAGTGTGTTCAAGAAAGAATTTGTGCATCTAGCTTGGGTCTCCAGCCGTTTTTGAACTACAATTCCCATCATCCCTCACCACTGGTCCTGCTAGCTAGGGATAATGGGAGTTGTAGTCCAGAAACATTTTGCCCAGCCCTTGCAAGTTTCATGCTTCAGCCAGTCTCTGCAAAAAGACGCAGTACTCCTTCAGTGAGCAGCAGTCAGTTTTGGCAGTGACCTGTGTAACTAATCACTGCCTGTTGGGCCTGATTTGTGTTACATGAAAAGCACTTTCTTGCGATGGGGGTCCACGCAGGGCCAACATGGATGTTGCTTCTTCCCTAGAGAAGGTGCAAGAGGAAGGTACAACCTGCCTTTTATGGAGTCTGATGAGACTAAATTGCCATCGAGTTTAACCTCAGACTGCACGGTGGGGCAATACATCCATCACCCCCCCACCCCCCAGCTACACAGTCCAAATTAGGAAGAGAGAGGGTGTACTGTACTGCAGAAAACAAATTCCTTCAGGTGAGTTTCCCTCAAAAAATCCAAACTACTATAGGAGAGGCAGGATGTTTCCTTGCTACTTCCCCTCACACACATCCTGTGCTGCGGTAGGAAACGAGCTGGGCAGAGGTGAACCCAGATCTGCATTCAATACAAGTTATAGTTAAACACGCAAGGAGTTGTTTTGCATCAGCTGCTGCAAACTCACCCATAGGGTTTCAGCAGTGATAGTCCCTTCTGCAGCTGCATATTCTAACTTGATGCTGCAGTTATCAAGTACTTATAATAATAATAATAATTTATTATTTGTACCCTGCCCACCTTAAGATGTCTTCTGAATTTCAGGTAGTTGTTTATCTCTTTGACATCTGAAGGGAGGGCGTTCCACAGGACGGGTGCCACTACCGAGAAGGCCCTCTGTCTGGTTCCCTGTAACCTCACTTCTCACAATGAGAGAACCGCTAGAAGGCCCTCGGAGCTGGACCTCAGCGTCCGGGCTGAATGATGGGGGTGGAGACGCTCCTTCAGGTATATAGGACCGAGGTCTGACATACTTGTGGAAAAGGTGTTAAAACTTAGCAGCTAGAAGATAACTTAAGTCAGAATTGTAGTCACTTAGGGCCAGGTGTGGGAAATCTTTTGCTTCCAAATGATGTTGAAACGACAGTTCCCTTCATGCCTGGCCATTGACTGCTTTCTGGGACTGATGAGCCTTACTTCAACAGCAGCTGGAGGGTCAGAGGTTCCCCACACTTGAGATTTATTTATTTTATATACTGCTTGATTGCAGAAAGAAACCACAAAGCGGTTTAGTGTGCTTATGTCCACACTAGTGTATTCATGCATATGTGAGCGTGAATCTACACATGAGCACTTTCCAATTGTATACTTCTGAATCTAAATGTTTCCTGTGATAATAGTTTCAATGTGCATTGGCTCCTCCCCACAATTAGGACTTCCCCACCCACCCTAATTTTTGGAAATCTGAGGTCTGTTGTGGAATATGTATTTTTTACCTGTAGCACATAAAAATAGATACTCTTTTTAAAAAAAGGATATTTTTTGAAATACAGTGGTACCTCGGGTTACATACGCTTCAGGTTACAGACTCCGCTAACCCAGAAATAGTGCTTCAGGTTAAGAACTTTGCTTCAGCATAAGAAGAGAAATCGTGCTGTGGCGGTGCGGTGGCAGCGGGAGGCCCCATTAGCTAAAGTGGTGCTTCAGGTTAAGAACAGCTTCAGGTTAAGAATGGACCTCCGGAACGAATTAACTACTTAACCCGAGGTACCACTGTACAAGCTTTCTGAGATACCAGATTTGCACAAAAGAGCAGTTCAAAATAAATCAATATTTATATGTGCTTGTTCTAAGGATTTGGAGTTGGTCACAACCCCCTGCAAATGCAGGAATCTCAAACTAAAGTATGAAAGGCTGATGCATCCATTTTCCTTTCCCACCTTCTGTACCTGCAAGGGCAAACTTATTTTTACAGCAGCCAATTCATGGAATAGCAGTTCTGTGCAAAAGAGTCGTTTTGAAAAATAAGCACAATGCCAACCTGTGAAAAGAACAAACACCCCTGTGTTGCAAAATGTGACAATCGACAAAAATGTGAACGCAACACGCTGGCTAATAACTATTAGTAAATATATAATTGGTATGATGTCATTCAAAATATACGAATAAGCCACTTCAAAATAATATACAGTGGTGCCCCGCAAGACGAAAAACTCGCAAGACGAAAAACTCGCTAGACGAAATGGTTTTGCGTTTTTTGAGTCGTTCCGCAAGACGAATTTCCCTATGGGCTTGCTTCGCAAGATGAAATGTCTTGCAAGTTCTTGCGAGTTTGTTTCCTTTTTCTTAAAGCCGCTAAGCCGTTAATAGCCGCTAAGCCGCTAATAGCCGTGCTTCGCAAGACGAAGAGACTCGCGGAACGGATTAATTTCATCTTGCGAGGCACCACTGCATCATACAACACATCTCACAAAAATATGCAAGTAACTGCAAGTTGTTATATGTATCAAGAGTCAATGAATAGCGAGGAACACCAAACCATCTCTCAAAGGAAGACGTCTCACAAAAGTTTCAAAGGAAGACGTCTCTCCGATGTCTCAAAAGGACAGTGCATCTGGAATAGCTCAACTGTTTCAGAATAAAGTCTTAATCAGCTAGAAATGGAATTGCAAGCAACGAATGACAACAAAACTGAGCAAAACTGAGCAACCTGTATGTAAGATATACAGTGGAACAAAATATATAAAGAGGTACATACCGAATAATTATCAATGAAATATACATACTAGTGAAGATCATACTAGTGGATCAGTGCTCACTGGATAATGTGGCTTATTCGTATATTTTGAATGACGTACCGATTATATATTTACTAACAGTTATTAGCCAGCGTGTTGTGTTTGCATTTTTGTAACCTGTGGAAAAGGGCAGGCCTACATCTTTTGCTTTGGGCTCATGGAAGGAGGAGGTGGTGTAACAGACAGCACCCAGTGAAGTTTCACCACACATGTTCTAAAACAAAAAAAAAACCCACCCATGCAATGATCTTCAGTGCATCCTCAGTCAGGTAATGTGCCTTTTTATATTGGATCTTCTTCCCTTATTGGATTAGCTGCAGCTCAGAGAAATCTGAATTTAGTGGTGGGAAAGTGCAGGCTGCCAGGATTGCACTTGAAAGAGGCGGCTGTCGAGTGGACACAACAAAAACAGAAGCGGCTTCAAATCAACATCAAACTCGCATGTGGATGAGCCCTGAAGTTTCCATGGTTTTCAGCTTTCGATGAAAGTGCCTAAGCCCTCTGTAGTAGGGTTACCAGACATCCCCAGTTCCCGGGGACAGTTCCCGCATTTGCATATCTGTCCCTGGACAAATTCTGTCCCTGGAATGTCCCCAAATTTGCAAATCTGTCCCCAGAAAACGTGGCAGCGGCGGCCTCAGCAGCCCGGAGCCAGCCGGTTAGCGCAGTTGGCTCTGGCTGGCTTCAGGAGCTGCTTGCTGCCATGGTGCCCGCCATTTTTCCTGTGCCACGGCAGCAAGCAGCTCCTGAAGCCAGCCAGAGCCAACTGCACTACCAGGCTGGCCCCTCCTGGGCAATGGCCACCTGCCTGTGATTCCCGAGCCTCTCCTGATCTGTCAAAACAAAGGAGAAAGGGGGAAGGAGATCAGGGAAGGTGGCGCCCAGTTGCCCAGCTTTTTAAAAAACTGCACATTTATGTTTCCCAGGATGCGAAAGAAGGGCTTTGCACTTTTATACAATATGCATGTGTGCTTGGGCCCAGGGTCTTTTGCCTCACCATCCCCACTAGTACTCAGCTCCAGGGGGGGAAAAATGTCCCCGGATTCATTGAAAAAAAATCTGGTAACCATACTCTGTAGCCTAATGTGTCCTTCAAGCCCAGGACAGCTGATGAAACGAAATTATGTATTTCTCCCTGTTATTTGAGCATAACCCAATGCATGTTTTAAAGCTTTTGTCTGAATCCTAGTTCTTCCTTCACTGACCCCATGATTCAGGCCTTATTGCTAGAACCATTTGCCCCACAGCTCGGGCAACTAGCCACCTTGCTTGCCCCTTTGCGGCTAGCCCCTAGGGCAGCCGAAATTCGGCTCCCACTTGCTACTACTGGACAGGCTTATCAGTTTGTGTATTTCAGAAGAAAACTTAGCATTTATATAAACTTCATGAATAACAAAACTGAACTATTTTTTAAAGATTTTATTTTGTCCATTGAAAAAAGCTCATCTTTCCAGTTAGACCCAGTGTTACCCTTTTAAAGTACCGCACCTTGAAGCAGGTTATTGCACCATTATTTTGCATAAGCAGCACAGCGATGAAAAATCACAAACACAAACTTGTGTAACTTGGCAGTGGTGTCAGTGGCGGTGGCCGAGATGGATTTCATTATTGGGAATTCTTCAGCTGCTGTTTCTTTTCTCCAGATGGCTTTGTTTTTATTTAAGAGGGCGAAGGCGGCGAGTTTTCGGCCTCACTAGTGAATAGTGCAATCCAGGTTCTTGGAAAGCTACTGGGATTTACGGGACTTGTCCATTTCATTCCGTATCAGAAAGAACTGCATCTGGATGCAACCAGCAAAAGTGCGCACACAGAGACTGTGGAATGAAATGATGGAGGAAGAAAGTAATTTGAAAGAAAAAAATGAAAATGGCACTGAAATGCAGAAGACTCCATGGAATATGGTCAGATATGAACTCAA